GCCTCCCAAAATGCTGAGATTACAGGCGTGAGCCACTGCACCCAGCCATTTGCCATTACTTTTTATTGACATTACTTTCGAATGTTAAAAGTAATGGCAAAAATCACGATTACATTTGCACCAACTTAAACATACATATGTGATAAGGGCTAATATAATTTGTAACTAATAATAAAATAGCATTAAATTCTCTGGTTTTAATTATATAATATAAATAATCAACAATTCATATTAGAAAACTATCAACTTCTCAGTAAATACTAGGCCATGAGTTCCTAGTAAGAAGAGATTTTACTTACGCACCTTTTATTCCTTACTGCTAATCACAGCATCTAACACAAAATAAGCATTGAAAATATTTCATCAAACAAATGTTATTAAAAAGTAGTTTTGTTGTCTCCATAGTGTTAACAGGTAGAAAAAATGATATTAAGCCAAGCATATTAAATTTCAGTGTTACAAGTCAGGAGTCGGCAAACCTTTTCTATAAACAGCCAAATAGTAAATATTTTAGGTTTTGCAAGCCATACGGTCTCTTCACAACTACTTAATTCCATCATTATAGTATAAAAGCAGCCATAGTCACAGAATGAGTGAGACTACGTACAATAAAACTTCATTAATTGAAAAATTAAACTTGAACTTCATATAATTTTCATGAAATATTAACTTTTTTTAACCATGTAAGAACCACTTTTAGTTCATAAGCCATTCAAAAACAATCAACAAGCTGGATTTAGCCCACATGCTGTAACTTGCAAATCTCTGATACAAATAATGCCTTTGGTATGTTGCCACACCTACAGAAAAAACAGTAAGCATTTATCAGTTTCCACAGCCATAATGCATTGAGGTTCATGCGACATACGTTCTATTCATATTTTTGTAAATAAACATAGCCAAGTATATAAAATCAGATGACCCCTTCCCCCAATCAGATGAAAGAAACTGGCCTACCAGTAAGACATAAAAGATTAAGGCAGGAAACGAGTAATTTTTGCTTAAAAAGTCCTATGATGGCAGAAGTGCAGTTAGGGTAGATGGAGGAGCAAGACAGGCATAGAGTACTGGGAATTTTTCTAAAAGTACACAAATGTGTGAAGTTTGTGACTTCCTTGGAGACCTCACTCCAAAAAGAGAATAGTTATGCTTTCTTCATAAGGACAGTCACAAGACAGACTAAAGGAGATTTTGTTTCTAACAAATTAAAAATAAGCAGCACTCAAAAGTTTCTTTCAAAACCACTCAATCTGGAGGCGGTTGTGAATCAAATTCAAAAATTAAAATGTAAACCTCTCAAAACAAGAGCATGTAAGGTAAGAAGTCTTTACCTTTAAAACGCTGTGCCAAAGTTGATTTTTAAGGTAGTAGGATGAACTTTAGAATATATTTTTCAAGAGAAAAGAGTAGGTTTGCAAACTAAAAGTGTATTTAACTTAAATGTATATAATATGTATTTAATTTTATAACTAAAAAGAACTTAGGATAATATACAAGAATATACAAGAATTATATTATCTTGAAGGATGGCTGAAGAAACATCAAGCATGGGTTAAATTCTTGATTCTTTAGATTTTTCCTTTGTTCATTCGTAAACTCAGCAGAAAAACTGGTTAAACTAAAATTAGCATTGTTTAAATATTTCAGACAAAAATATTTAATTCAGTGCAAAACTACGTTAAAATAAGAAATGATTAAAATTAAGAGATTTCAGAAAAAAAGCTCTCTTAAGCCAAAAGAATAATAAAACACTGGAATGGGTACATTTTGGAGTCTCTACCCTTAAAGTCATGTTGTGCATGGCTATCGTTCCATCTGACTGATAATATTTTGTTGGGATATCTTTCATATGTACTTTCAGCTTTGTGATTCAAAACTGAATTACCCTGCTCAACATTAATAAAGATGAGCAGTAAACTTCTAACTACTCCCACCATCACCACTATCACTTCCTTAACTTAAAACATGTATTTACACAAAAAAGAGAAGGATCCTTAGTGATACTTTGTGTCTCAGTAGAATGGAAAGTACCATAGTATGGTGGAAGGTAACGACAGCACATAAAACTGACCAGATACAAGATCCAGAAATTGCTCATTCAAAAAACAAAGCAGAAAATCTACACCAACACTACTCATTTTGTAAATGAATTGTACTCCAAAATTTCAGATATATCTACAAAAATGTTCTCCCCTTGTGCTCTACATTTCCAAACAAGCTATAAAACAGCTAACCTGTTTATGTGGTATTGCAATTACATCACAGATCAAAAAGCTTCCAAGAGTATCTGAGCTGCAGCCTTTGGAAGAGGTGGCTATAATAAATAACGAACAGTATAATGTAAAATATAAAACTCTGAATACACAAGGTAGTATTTCCTGGAGTGGCAATCTGAGTTCCAGGCTGCCTGTATCATGAGCAATAGAACATAACAGCTGCAAACCTGTAACCTACATTGCCCAACAGCAGCCAGGAGCCCGAGGGCTTCAATGGGCAATAAAGACACTTTTGAGCACTGACTAGTTGCTACGAATACAAGGTTTAATGCCTTGTCTTCAAGGTTTGAGAACCTCAAAGGCCTTAAAGCTGTTGCAATACATTTAAGATAATCCACAAATTCTTTGAAAACCTCATGGGAAAGACTGAAAACATGCTATGTTCCTATATTCTTGGAAGATCTCATTCCCATTCCAAGGACAGTTTAAGAAAACACAGGTTATATGTGAAAGAAAGTGTTTACACATATGAGAACCCAAATAAAATTATATTTCCTTTATGGTTCTGTAAATTAAAATATCGGATAAAGTTCATCTGATATTCCACACTAGCATTACACATATAATCGAAATCACTGAAAAAACTAATTGTTGGTAAAAATAGGTAACGATCTTAGTTTAGTCAGCCATAGACCTCCCTTTCCCATACTGGTAAGAGTTTCAGTAAGAAAAATGCAAGGTGTGCTTTTTAAGAGTTTCATAATTTTCACATTTTAAAAATTATATAATACATTTTTGATTTTGGAAAAAGCCACATATATAAAAGGAAACCAAAACTATGCATAATCCATACTTCAAATATAACCACGACAAACATGTTGGTGTCTTTTCTTTCTAGTCCATTTGCAATGAAAACATACATACTTTCTTTTTCAGTTTTTGTTTTGTTTACAAAAATAGAATGAGTCAATATACATTATATATATACTGCACTTGCTTTTCTTGAGTCTAACAATCCTTCCACGTCATTAATAAACTCAACAAAACTGTTAATACCTGCATATATCCCAATTATAAATATAAAATATTAAATAGCCTCTTTTTAAATACGTAATAGGAAAAAAAAAACTGGAAACAACTTTAAATGAACTATAATGAGCAGCCTTATATAGAATACATCTTTTGCGTACTTATCTGATTATTTTCTTGTGATACCTAAAAATACAGTGTAATTATGATTTTTTTTAAGCTTTGAATATTTATTGATAAAACTTTTTCAGAATGGGTGTACTAGTAATACACAGGAGCTCAAAATTGCATATACACAAAAAATCCTTTTTCCCAACCATATTTGAAAAGCATTAGATTTTATTATTAAAAATAAATTACTTTCAATCTGATAGTAAACTTGCTCTTTGGCCTAAATTGTATAAAATATGATGATAATTATACAAAAAAATTTACAAGCAGGATGTAACACTTTGGAAACACAATCTAATCCTAAAATAATAAATTGTACTTAATATTTAAAATTTATATTAAGAAATTAAGAAAATCTTGTAAGTTACTGCTTAGTAATATCCCTTGGATATGATAGTTGGAAAGAAAATCAAAGCAGGTCATGCCTAGTAAGAAATGTATTCACGTTAAGTTAAACAAATTTTTAATTGATTAAATATTAGCATCATTACTACAATATCACTACCAAGGACACTTCTCCTTTGGACAACAGCAACAAAGGCTCTACTTATTTTTGAAAACTATGCCAGTGAAGAGCCAAGTTTATAGGTTAGAAATACGTTGATCTTACAGGTTTAAGAGACTAGAAAAAATTAATCTCCTGACTTCTACTCAATATTTTCTTTTCTTTTTTTTTTTTTGAGACGGAGTCTCACTCTGTCACCCAGGCTGGAATGCAGTGGCCGGATCTCAGCCCACTGCTAGCTCCGCCTCCCGGGTTTACACCATTCTCCTGCCTCAGCCTCCCGAGTAGCTGGGACTACAGGCGCCCACCACCACGCCCAGCTAGTTTTTTTGTATTTTTTTTTAGTAGAGACGGGGTTTCCCCGTGTTAGCCAGGATGGTCTCCATCTCCTGACCTGGTGATCCGCCTGTCTCGGCCTCCCAAAGTGCTAGGATTACAGGCTTGAGCCACCACGCCCGGCCCTACTCAATATTTTCTATAAATTCCTCATTTAAAAAATGTTTTACAACTCTAGCTCTTCAGATATTAGAAAGAGATGTCCTAACAAAAACAAATAAAAGGAAGTCAATGTATATTAGTTCACTTAGCCATTGTTTCTTCCTTCCCAATATTCACAAGTGTTTCACTAAGAAAAATATTAAAAGAACAAACAAAAGTGAAAATTTGGGTGATAGCTTTTTAGAAAGCAATTATTCAATTGAACATTTACTTAAATTGAATCAAATAATTCAATTAAAGTTTAATAATTTGATTAAGCAATTACCTAACTCAATTAATTTAATTAACTTTTTAAAAAATCTTATTTAAGCATAAGTTAGGGCATGGAATTTATAAAACAACAAAAATTACATCACTGACCCCCAAACAAGCTTTATTTTCTATTTCGATTTAGTATACAAAATTTTTAAAAAATATGATATGTAATAAAAAATCTGGATTACTTTATTAATTTTAAAATATTTTCTAATTAAATAGGATCATAAATTCATGTTTAATATAAAGTTAGTATAGAACAACAATTTTTCATTTTTAAAGTAGAATAGGAAATGACAATTTTTAAATAAAATTTCAAAAATTACCTTCAAATAAACTGAGGTCTCTTCGTAGCCGTGGTCCATAAAGCCCTTCTAAAATACTCTCAAAACCTGTGTTTTTAAAGAGAGAAAAGCATATTAACTACTAGAAAAGTTATGTTTTACAATTTAAAGTCATAAACTCTGTATCAATCAGCAAATTAATTTAACATATCAGAAGTATTTTTCCTCTAGCTGCATTAAGCTGAACTAGGCAATATACAATATAACAGTCACACAATAACTACCAGAAATTACATGACTGTAAAGAAATTAAAATATCAAAATGCAAATATTCACTACTAAAACAACTAAACAACTTTATCATTTAGAAATATTCCTGGGTAAAATATCATGGGCAGATTTTGTATGTAATAATCTTGTAGAGAGGGGAAGAATAATTAGAAGGCCATGTATTATAATTGTTTACATTTGTGTTAAAAAAGTAAATACAAAAAAATAGCATCTTTAACATCAATTACAAGAATGAGTATATGAGTGTCAATAGGGAGAAATCTTTCTGTTAAATATATGATGTACACAATTTAAACCCACTTGTAAAAATGAAAACACAACAATTTGGTCATTGCTATAGATTGCCCTAAATTTTAGGTAAAAAAAATTACTGAAAATCTTGTCAAGTTAACAAAACCCTAGTTTATTAATTTCTCAAAAATACACTTTCTGGACATACTAGTTTTAAGATTTTACAATTTTTGACTTTGAAGTAACATATTTAATTTTAAGCAACAATCAACTACAGACATCCAAAGAAAAAAAAATACAATCCTGATGGCAAAATAATTGAGAAGCTAAGAAAAGGAACTAATGTAAGCCATGTGTGGATTTGGGAGGAAAAAACTAAACACAGCATGACAGACCCTATAAATCAAAGAAAAAGTAGATTTTCTCAGTGGTATTCCTAAATTATAAAACATTATTAATACTTCTACAGAAAATTTTATAAGTTATAAGATGCTTTTGAAAAACATTAACATCTCCAAAATCAAGAGTCATCTTAAAATCTACTGTCATAGTAAAAAACTAGCTACAGGTTTTCATTTAATAAAACATGAACTACTGATGCATCCTACAACTAATAATGTCTCAGATTTCACAAAGTAAGGTAGCTATCATGATACTTGGTAAATATGTAATGAAATAAAATCTTTTGTGAAATGACAGTACTAGTTCCCATGAGCAGAAATTTCCTGGTAAAAAAGTGAATGAACTACCTACTGCCTGAGCAAGCTATCACACTGGGTAGAGACTCAGACAGATTAAGCCCAAATCCTTCTATAGAAGGGTTATTCTATTTTATAGTAGAAGATACTCTATTTTTCTGTCATCGACTTGCTTCAAAAGTATTACTGCACTTGTGAGCATCTGTTGCTGATAACACAGTTCCTAAGACTGATCAAAAGTGTATTCGTTGGTCTCATTATAGTCTTCATGCCACTAACTCTCTTCTGCATTTTATGTCTCTTTGGCTTTCTTTACTGCATTTTAGTTAATTTCTTCTACTATAAATTCCACTTCATGAAATTCTTATGGTTCAAACTGCTGACAAATACATCTTTTTGTTTAAAAAAAGTCAACTTTATTGAGGTATAATTTTCATATAATACAAGGTATCCATTTTAAAAATAAAGTTCAGTAACTTTTGAAAATCCATACTTTCATTTTGCCAAGAACACAACCAAGACAGAAATTATTTCCATCAACTCAAATGGTACCCTTGTGACCTTCTGAGTAATTACCTGGAACATCCCAAACCCCTTTCCAAAGCATCTTTTCTCCTGTAATGGCTTTACTTGGTTTTGGTAAGAGTAATGCCGGCCTCATAAAGAAAACTGGGAAATGATCCAACCTTCACCATTTTTTGAGTTTGTGTACTGTAATATTTATTAATTATTAATCAGACTTGGAGCTCTCTTTGTGGTGAAATTTTAATCATAAGCCCAGTTTTTAAAACTAAAAAAACTATTCAGGCTATCAATTTATTATTAATTCAGTTTTGGTAATTTGTATAAATTACAGCACTTATTGGCAAAAAGTTGCTCAAAAAATTCTTTTAATACCTTTTTAACATCTGAAGAATCTGTAGTCATGTCCCTCTTTCATTCCTGATACCAGTTTAGGTATCTTCTCTCCTTTTTCACTGATTACTTGACTAAAAATTGAGTAATTTTACTGATCTTTTTACAAAAGATCAACTTTTGACTTCAATTATTTTCTTTCTTGATCACTCATTTTCTATGTTTTTCATTTCTGCCCTTTCCTCTTTATATCCTTCTTTCTAATTATTTTTTATTGTCACCAAACTTATTTTTCTAAGTTTTTAAGGTGGAAGCCTAGATCATTGATTTGAGACCTTTGTTCTTTTCCAATAAAATCATTTAAAGCTATAAATTCCCCTCTATTCACTACATTAGCTCTATCCCATAAACTGTGATATACTGTCTCTTTATTTTCATTTAGCTCAAATCGTTTATAATTTCCCTTGTGATGCCTTATTTTACCCATAGGATATAAATGTGTTGCTTAATTTCAAATATTTAGGTATTGTTCAGAAATCTTTCTCTTTGCTGAATTCTTTTTTTTGTTTTTTGAGACAGAATCTCGTTCCGTCACCCAGGCTGGAGTGCAGTGGCGCGATCTCGGCTCACTGCAACGTCCACCTCCTGGGTACGTGCGAATTCTCCTGCCTCAGCCTCCTGAGTAGCCGGGATTAAAGGCACATGCCATCACGCCCAGCTGTTTTTATATTTTTAGTATGTATGTATGTATGTATGTATGTATGTTGGCCAGGCTGGTCTCAAACTCCTGACCTCAGGTGATCCACCCATCTCAGCCTCCCAAAGTGCTTGGATTAGACATGAGCCACTGGGCTTAGCCTGTTATTGAAATGTACAAGATTCTTTGAGGTTGTAAAACATGTAAGATTACATGTAAAAATGACTGTAACATTACAGTCATTCCAAATTTCCTGAAACTGAATTTATGGATAGCATATGATCTACACTGGTGAATATTCTATGTAACACAGAAAAGAATGTGTCTGTACTTATTGGGAAGAATGTACTATAAATGTTAATTAGGATTTAGCTGATTGATAATGTTCTTTGGGTCTTTTATCTCTCATGATTTTCTGGCCTTTCTCCTTTTCTGCCAATTTTCCTTCATGTATTTTGATACTCTGTTATTGGGTATATTTATATTGCATATTTTTATGTCCCCTCTGTGAATTGGCATCATCATTATAAAATGCTCCTCCTTGTCCTTGTTCTGAATTCTATTGTGTCTACTGTTATATCAGCTACACCAGCTTTCTTACGATTAGCAGCATTTTCATTACGTATTTTTTTTCCAATTCTTTAACTTTTAACCTATGTCTTTATATTCAAATTGAGTTTTTTGTGGACAACAGAGTTGAATCTTGCATTTTTATCCAGTCTGAAAATATCTGTTTTTTGAGGACAGTGTTTAGACCATTAAAATTGAATGTATTAAAATCGTTGGGTTTATATCTACCATCTTATTTGCTATTTATTTCCTCTGTTATATATCCCTCCCTATTCTCCACTCTACAACATTATTTTAAGTTAAATGAGAAGTTTGAGGTATTCCATTTTGTTGCCACCATAAACTTAATAGCTATACCTCTTCTAGATTTTTTAGGGCTTGCCCTAAGGTTTACAAAATTCACTTTGGCTTTTCAACATCTACTTTAAAACATTATAGTACTACTTAGTATGTAAGAATCAATATGTAAGAATCAGTATGCAAGAATAAAATCTCATTATATATAACTTACTTAAAAACATTTTAAATACATTAAAACATTAGAAAGTCTTTTAAATTTACTCACAATGTCACTTTTTGTGTGTGTTTGTAAACCTATACTTAAAGATCTTCTACTAGCTACCGTTTTTCTTAAAAGACAAAATCATTTGTCTCAATTTTTAAAAAAATGTTGTTTTGGGTATAAAGTTGTAGGATGACAGTTTTTTTTGTTTGTTTGTTTTGTTTTTTGTTGTTGTTGTTGTTTTGTTTTTTTTTGTTTGGCACACTGAAGATGTGCTTTAAGTGTCCAGTGGTTTGCATAGTTGCTGGCAAGTTTACAATCTTTCTTTCCCCTGTTCCTCTGTACATCATAATGTGCCTTTTTCTCTGACTGCTTTTAAGATTTTCTTTTCATCACTGATTTTCAGCAGTTCGATGATTATGTGTCTTGGCATGGTTTTCCTGGTTGAGCTCACTAACTCTGCAGAATTATTTTGATTATTTATTGAGTTCACTAAATCTGCAGAATTATTTTGATTTCTATGGCAGATTAGTTTCTATTTTCTAGACTTTCATGAGAATCGAATCTTACAGAACAGACTCTCTTTTGTGGGGGCTGGTCTTTTTCACTCAATAGAATAATTTTGAGCTTTATTTGTTGCTGGTTATCACTAGTTTATTTCTCAGTATATTCCATTATGTCAGATATACTACAATTTTTAATCTATTCAGAAGTTGGTGGATATATGTTTTCATTTTTCTTGTGCAAATAATTAACAGTGCAATTGTAGGGTTATATAGTAGGATTATGTTTAGTTTTTTAAGAAACTAAACTGTTTTCAAAATTATTGTATCATTTTACATTCCTGCCATCTGCCATCCATGTATGAAAGTTACCATGGCTGATTCACATCCCAATCACCACTTGGTTAGCTGTGTTTTTCTTTTGCTTTCTATAAATAAGTAAATAAATAAATAAATAAATGGAGTGATTTGTAGAAAACATTCTAATATCCTCATGTCTCCACGTGGTTTTAATATGTATTTCCCTATTGACCATCTTTTCACAGGCTTACTTCAGATACCTCCGTTCAAATCATTTGCAAAATTTTTAATTGGGTTGTCAGACATTTTATCATAGCATTATAAGAGCCTTTCCTATTTTGTTTTTAACTATATTCTGGATACAATTCCTTTGTCTAATAATATATGTTGTGAATATTTCTCCTAGTCTATCATTTGCATTTTTGTTTTCTTAATGGCGTTTCCCAAAGAACAAAAGTTGTTA